GGGCTCTGACCTTCCAGCAGGGCTCACAGAGCTCCTTCACGTTGATGGTGCGGCACAGGGTGATGATGAACACGGGCAGGTTCTCCGAGGGCAGGCAGTTGTAACAAACAACTGCATCCAGGACTTGCAAGGAAATCTTTGGGAAAGGGACAGACAAAATGGTTGGACACTTCCCTGTGAATCAACCAGGTCAAATCCTCACCTGGCACACCCAGGAAATCTTCTGGAAGTCAAAAGGGATAATGATTTTTTTTTTTTTTTTTAAAAAGCATTGTCGATTCACTTATCAAATTGATTAATGCTCTGTTTGCTCTGGAATAACTTATTGGGGTATGAGACTTATTGGCTTACAAATAACATAATATTGCATCAGCTCTCTTGAAAGATGAGAATAAACCCAGAATCTGATGATCTGATTTTGTTTGTAAAAGTTACAAAGAACTTCAAAGCGTTCTGCAGTACTAAAAGAAACTCAGATCACTGACCTCTATGTCCATAGATGATGAAGTCTGAATGCACAAGAGGCAGATCTTGCTGTTAAGAAAGAACATTTAATTAGAATTGTTTGCTCCACATGATTTTAGGCAAATTACAAAGAGCAGAACAGTCAGGTTAATTGCCCTGTTATTTAACTCCTCACTGCCCTTCCTGTGGCAATGTTGGTGACACTCCAGGACACTGAGCTCTGCAATCTCTTTTATAAAGTTAAATGGAGACTTAAATGCAGCTCAGGTAATGCAACAGCACAGATCCTCGTGAGACTAAGCAATGCAAACACCCCATAGAATGGGAATGGAAAAAACACACCTAAATGTTAAACTAAAACAGATCTGAACACAAGAACTGAAAATCAAACATTTGTCAGAAATTACCTGGGACAAAACAGATCCAGATGGGGACAAAAAATATCCCAGTTGGCTGTATATTGATCTGCAACTTTCTGTGTAATTTACCAAGCAGACAGGAATTAAAAAAAAACAACTTACTGGACCATGTCAGCTACGTAGTCTTCCAGATAGCAGCTATTGAATTTCACCAGGTTCACCAAAACCAGGAGGAACTCAGAAGTCAACCCAACATCCATCCACTGTAGCACAAAATCAGCTAAAGAAGGAAAAAAAAAAAAAAATCCCTGTTACAATACACCTTCTACCCAGGAATAACACCACTACATTTTTCTCTTCTCACTGGATGTTTCTGCCATGATTTATTCCCTCCAAACTGAAGAGGGGTTGGGACAATGCTCACCCAGCTCCTCCTCTAAGTAGGTGATGTATCTTCCATTCTCTGTCAGAGCCTTGAACACTTCAAGTCGTTCATGCAAATCTTCATTGGAGGGATAATCCTTAATAACCTTAAAAAAATGGGCTCTGAGGATCCCTAATCTCTCACCCTTGAAATAAAAAAAGGGAAAGGGGTTAAGGCCTGGATATTATCAAAGCCTACCTCAGTAATCTTCATGCTTGAAATTATATTTTTGTTAAATCAATGCCTACTCTCTTCATAAGCATCCACCCCTGCTTTCTCAGAACACTGAAAATAACAACTTTGGGCTGATTCAGCCCCATGTTTGTGCAACAAGTTGGGAAATCTGAACAATTCCTTGTGTGCTGAACTTGGCCAGGCTAGAAGTGTCTCACACAGAACTCTTTGCATACCTGAAACATCAAAACCAGCTGCAAACTGGGACTAGGAGGTCTGGGCAAAGACCACGTAAAATCTGCTGAATTAGGCTGAACTTAACCCAAAGTATTTCCTCTTTCTCAAGAGATTTACCCCAAACCAGAACAGCTTTCTACGAGTTGTATGAAAAGTTTTGCTACGAGGTCAAACCAAGCCTTCAAATTCAAATGCTTCCTCTTCTCATTTATGAGACACAACCAAAATTACAAATACGAAGATTTTGTAGAGAAGAGCTCCCTGGTGCTTTTCCCATCTCCCCCCTGCACAAATCCCAGTTTTTAGGTCAGTGTTTATCCCCGTGGGGTTGCTGTCACCTGTCCCTGCACGATGGATTTGAGGAGGTGCAGCACGGCGTGCCTGGCCTCGGCGGGACGCTCCGGCTGCAGCATGTCAGCCACCACCTTCCACACGGCCTCCACGGCGTGCTGGGAGAGAAACAAATCCAAAAAACAAACCAAAAGCGTGAGGCAGGACAGCTCAGCTCCCTCCTGGCATCTCCAGCCAGAAGTTCCCACTGAATTCTGGCAATTCGTGACTGAGATCCAGGGGTTTCATGTCTGGAGTTGTGTGTTCTGAGGGACACTCACCCACCTGGTTGTACACCCAGATCAAGCCCAGCAGGCACCAAATCCAACCCTACACCCCAGGAACTGGAATTCCTCATCCCACACTCACTTCAAGTGGGAGTATTTATGCAGAAGCCTTCATCCAGCTACAAGATGAGTTCAAAACCAATTGGGGGCTGCTTATTAACAAGGCAGGAGGAGGTAAGGAAACCCCTCAAAACATCATTTCCTATGAACTATCCTGAATATCCCCTGCATTCTCCTTCCAGGAAGGTCCAAGAAGCCCAACAGCTCCATCCCCTCTTCTCCAGAGCTGGAAGGTTGGGCAGACTAATTTCCTTTTACAGCACAAAGCAGCCTCTGGGATCACTCATTTTAAAAAGCTTTCTAAACATTATGAGTCTCTTACTATAGTTTGAGAGCTGCTGCTTAAATTTCCATCCTTCCAATACTCACTGAACACTTTGGAACTCACCTCTTCAATTTTTTTGGTTTTTGCCACTTCACAAATTTGACTGATTGCTCGTATCCTGTTACTCAATCCACACTCTATGCTCAGTTCCTGGAAAGAAATGGAGAAATAATCTAACAGTTTATCTGACCAGAAACACTTATCCACGTCTCCAAGGGGAGAAGGAATTCTGCTCTCTTTCTCCCTTTTTTTTCTATTTTCCTCCTTGTGTGCCAACTACTCTGCTTATAGACTTGTGGTACCAATTACTGGAATCAATTATTTTATTTTTCATCTCCACAGAACCATAAGGTTTTCATAAAATAGAAACAGCTCCCAGCTTGTGGAAACTGCCACCATAGAAACTTCATCAAGCTCAGACTATAAAAAAAAAGAGGGGACAGGGAAATACCCTGTAACCCAACATAACAAGTATCTCTTCTCAAAGAGTGAATAACTCAAATGATAGAGCTGCAGAGTAGGTGAGTTCTACATCCAGTTCAGTAGGGAATGAGTTGAGAGATCAGGAGAGGGAATGATGGAGAGGAACTGAATGCCCAAAAACCCAGGAAAGGAGCAAGCCCTCCTGATCCCCTCAGCTGAGGTTACTCCCACCTCCACCCAATTCTCACACCTTGAGTATTTCTGCAGTGATGATAAACTCTGTCTGCTTGCCCTCCGACGACTTTGAACTTCCCCGGGATGTTCCCAGCCCCAGGAGGTTCCTGAACTTCTCCTTCAGCCCGGAATCCTTGCTCTGAGGCTTTGCCATGGCTGCCAAGCACTGAGGCCCTGCAAACACACAACAGAGAGGTCCAAGGGGAATATTGCAGCAGGAAAACCCCAATAACAGCATCACACAGGGGCTTTTCCAAAGAGCCTTTTCAAAGGTGGGAGAAGCCCAGCACTGAGGAAACACAAGGGGCTCGTGCTGCTCCTGCCTTCAGCACCTGCATCCCACAGCTCCCCATGGAACATGGAATTATTTGGGATACTTCCCTGAGAGTTCTGAATGCTCCCTGATTTTTGCAGTATATCCACGTGCACACACCTTTTGGAGGGTGTAAGTTTGTTCCCAAGACAAAGGCCAAGCACACTGTGCTGTGCTGTCGATGTGGAACTGAGGAAGGATTTACAAATCTGAATGTTGGAACATCCAAGTGCTGCCACGGCAAGAGAAAGATGGAGCAAGAACAAGGATGGCCATCACAACAACAACCTCCAGAAAGTGTCCCACTGTCCCTTGGGGACCTGAGCACACGACCCTGCACAACCCCAAACCCCTCTATCCCCATGGACATCCCATGGCCTTCCCACACCCTGGGCACAGCAATCCTGGGATGCACCAC